TCTGGTTAGCAGGCAAGTGTCTTAGCCACTATGCTACCAGAGCTAAAATTTGGCTGGGAGCCTGCTTATTCACAGGACTGAACTGAAAGTCATCTTGTCCCCAATAAATAATAATGCCAGAGCTGAAGATAGATGAAGATAAGCATCTGGGACTCTTTCATTTTCAGATAGTGTGCATTTTCTAGGATGGATTTAGGAAAATAGTCTTGGCACAGAAATCAGAAGCTAGCTGTGGGGATCTGATGCCTTTTGTTTGTTTGTTTAAATAAAATCTAGATTGTAACATCTCTGAATTGACTCAAGAAGAAGCCAAAGAGACAAAAAGCAATGCAAACTGTTCATATTTTTTAGCCCTGGGAAGCCACCCAGCAGGTTTCTAGATGTGGTCTATTTTAGTTCAAAGTGCGATCACACTGTATAAAATATACATTCACTGAGAATGAGGCATAGCACAGATGCCCTAGGGACCTGACATTGGGAATTAGGGCAAGCCAATAAGAGAAAAGAATTAGGCAAAAAGGCACAATTAAAACCATTCAAGAGAGATTTATACTCTTGTTCCAAACCTATATTAGCCATGAAGTAGAGGCCAAAGTTTTAGGAACTCTGCATCAGGAAGCACTGTATTCTTATGGTGCCCTATTCTGATGTGGTTCAGTGCCATGAGATGCCAAAATATGTCATCTTCCTTTGGCCCTATGCATTTGCTAACATGACTGATCACGTCTTACCTCAATAAAAGGAGCTCTGGTGGCCTAATTGTTAAGGCATTTATTTGAGTGTTAACTAAAAGATCAGTGGTTCAAATCCACCAGCTGCTCCAAGGAAGAAAGATGAGGCAGTCTGTTTCCATAAAGATTTATAGCCTTGGAAACCCAGTGGGAGTTGCTATGAGCTGGAATCATCTGGATGGCAGTCTGGTTTTGGGTTTTTTGTTTTGTTTGGTTTGGTTTGGTGTCAATACAAGAGGATATGGGTATGTAAAGAGGGAAGGTGACAGGATCAAAGGAACTGAGGAGGTGGAGAGGGGAGAGAGCAGTCACATGGGAGTGATATCTTTCTTTGGTTTATAAACTCTACCCCTGCTTACTTTTTTCTGAGAATTTAAACACCTTGTTGTTGTTGTTATGTGCCGTCGAGTCGGCCCCGACTCATAGCGACCCCTCCTTGGGTTTCC